TCTTGATTTCACTCCTCTGGTGCTCTAAACACAGTACACAAATCCACTATCCTAAATGCATGTATTTTATCGTAAACACTGGTGACAACTTTCCATATTTTATCTTCTTTTATATGGTTTCACATGGCATAAGAGGCTTCCTGGTAATAAGTTGGTGAGAGAGCTTTGACAACAGTCTCATATTGAAAAATAAGGAGAGTTATATCTGTGATTTTCTGCTGTTGACTAATATAATTATTCTTCCAGGTCTCAAGTCAATGTTTCATTTATTCTAAATTTCAAGATGTGTCAACTTTTGTCAAGTTTTCCACATACTATCTTTGTTCCTAAATAATCCACCTGGTTCACTATTTCTTAGGTTTGGACAGAAGATGCTGTTCAGATGGTGTTTGCTCCAGTTAGCCATCACTGACAACTGTGTAGCCTTTGCTCCCACCTTCCTCATTTACTGCTCATTGCAGTTCTTAGGAGGGATCTGTATCATGACTATTATGGCAAACACTTGCACTATCACTAAGTTAATATTTTGAGGTTTTGCTGCTTCCAGAACTTTGATTGACCTTGAAATTGCCCTTAGTCTGAAATTATTATCTGTGTTTTCCTCCAGTGACAGAGTGGGCAGGGCCCAAATCAATAGATATGGTACCAGGGCTAATAATAAGTTTCTGCAGTTTTAGACAGATACTCCTAGGAGGACTGGTTGTTTTTGTTTTTTGGTGAGGAAGATTGCCCATAAGCTAACATCTGTGCCAATCTTCCTTTATTTTTTTGCATCTGGGATGCCACCACAGCATGGCTTGCTGAGTGATGTGTAGATCTGTGCCCAGGATCTGAACTTACGAATCCCAGGCTGCAGAAGCAGAGTGTGCGAACTTCATCACAATGCCACTGGGCTAGCCCCTAGAAAGACTGGCTTTTGTCATTTGAAACTGGCACACACTGCAACTGACAATGACTATTCACTTATTGGTCCTCCTCTTGCGTGGACAGTCTCCATATTAATTGCCTATAAGGGAGGCTGTGGTGAGAACAGAGAGGAGAATCATGACACTTAGGATCTGCCTGTTCCCTGGGCTGGTCCTGAGCTGTGGTTCTCATTAGCACCCACTGTGACACTCGAGGAAAAGACAAAAGGAGGAATAGAATGATACGCTATTTAGGAGATTGGCATTTTTAAAACATCATTGTTGCATAGTAGTTACAGAATTATCATAAAATCATTTTTCTTAATAGAAAATTACATACCCACTAATTTTGAGGCAAATACACTGTATTCTTTTTTTAACTTCGGAAAGCATTGTATGATGAAAGTGATTTGAAGACTTTTTGCCATTGTAAGGAAGACTGGATAAAAGGAAAAGACAAAAATTTATCTCCATAAATATTTGAAATTAGAAGAGCATATTTCCTCTAGCACTAAGAATTGGCATGGGGGTGATTTTCACAAAAATGATAGAATGAAGACCTCCAAAAATCAGTTGCTCCATAATAACAACAACAAAAATATGGCATAAATTGTCATCATAAACTTTTTCTGAACTCTGGAAATGAACTAAAGAATTGCAGCAATACAAGAAATCTTTTGTTAAAGAAAAATGGATAAATTCTAGTAAGAATAGTGAGTGTTAAGGTATTTTAACATATCTTAGTCCCATTTCCTACTCCTCAGCTATACTGCTGCCTTGAAAAATGTTGACTTACATTCTTAGTAAAAGAGAGAAGAAGAAAGCTTGAGTTATTTCAAAGCTTCATTCACAAAGAACACTCACTATTTGACCTGCCTGGTGGTTTGCCTAAGATCCCTTTTAGAAAGCAGTCTGTATTTGACCAGCATGAAAGTCCTCTCCCTGTGTGGGGCATTTGCTGCAAATATTTACTGGCAAGTGTTTTCAGGTCACAGGATGCCTGAGCTGATGGATGGCAATTAGGGAAACAATAGACTAACATGAAAGGCTTAAAATGAGAAGCTGCAGAACAAAATATCTGTACTGGCTTTGAAAAACTCCAAACTATTCCTTGGAGTGTAGAAGGTGATGTGCATGTGTAGGGCTGTATGCATACTCACGAAAGTCTAGGGAATTCCCTAAGCTCTCTCCTCTGGATGTCATGGAAGCTCTGTACAAGCGGTAAGTGGAGGCGACGTCAGAGATCAGAGTGCCGGGCTGAGTGTTGAAGGCATGCCCCAACACATATTCAGAACCTGTCAGGAAAGTCTGAGACATTTATTGGTTGCAGGTCACTAATTCATGAGCTGACCACTGAACTAACCAAGTATAGAGTTCAGTGGCCGCACGTGAAAAAGGATACAGATTTTATAGAGTTTGTTCACAAAGATTCACTAACCAAGCAAACTACAACAAGCAGCGGGAACAACAGCAAACACAAGGAAAGGGGGAAGAATGTGATTTCCAGAGTTGCCATGTTATATTATTGAAAAGATCCAGTTCTCAACGAAAGTTCTGAGTCATGCAAAGAAACAAGAATGTATGACTCCTACACAGGGAAAAAAAGCACTCAGTATAAACTGTACCTTAGAAAACCCAGATGTTGGCTTATTAGACCAAGGCTTAAATCTGCTATATTAAATATTGTCAAGAAAAAAATAAAATATCCAGAAAAATTAAAGAAATAAAGAAGAGGATGAGAAAGACGCCTCACCAAATAGAGAAAATATGAATGAAGATGGAAATGTTAAAGAGGAACAAAATAGAAATTCTGGAGTTGAAATGCACAATAACTGAAACAAAATATTCACTAGAGGGTCTAGCGACCAGCATATGCGAGCTGGCAGAAAATAAGCAATGAATTTAAAGAGAGATCAGTTGAGATTATCCAGTTTAAGGAACTTAAAAAATGTATAAAGAAACCTGAAGAGAACCTCAGACACTTGTGGGACTCCATTAAGTGTACTGACATAGGCATAATGAAAGTCGCAGAAGAGAAGAGCAGGGAAAAGAGTGGAAATATATTTGAAAAAACAACGACGGAGCAACTTCAGTAAGATGGAGGAATAGGAAGACACATTTATGCAGGTGAGAAAAATGCATAAGAATGGAGAAAGTCCCATCCTAGACAATTAGAGGCAAAACTCCCTGAATTTCACACCAAGGTGGGAATAGTGCTTATTCCCATCATCCAGAGTAGAAGACCTCATAATTCACATGAAGGTTTTGGTAGATCTCTCAGAATTTGATTCAGTAGGGGAGAAAATTAACCTAGGCCACATCCTGCTCTTGTGTAACTCGGAGATGCTTAAATGGAAGACATGAAAAGATCATTATTTCCAAGTAACTTGAGCAAATCTCATACAGCTCAATAATACTTTTAGGCATACAAAAATATCCAGCAAGGTAAGGGTCACAATGCTTAGTTTCCAATAAAAAATTACCAGGCAAGCAAAGAAATAGCAAAATAGGATCCATGTGAGGAGAAAAGTCGCTCAAGAAGAAATAGATAAACTGAGTAGTCCTATATCTACTACATAAAATAAATTTATACTTAAATGTCCTCCCACAAAGAAAACTATAGCTATCTTTACCGGCAACTTTTACCAAATATTTAAGGAAGACGTAATTCCAATTGTACACAAACTCTTTCAGGAATAGAAGAGGAGAAAATGTTTCTGAACATCTTATGTGGCCAACATAATTCTGATACCAAAGGCAGATGAAGTTAGAAGAAAAACATATTATACACCAATAACTCTCATTAAAACTGATGCAAAACTTGTCACTCAAATTTAAGCAAATCAAATAAAGGAATATGTTTTTTTATACCAAAAAAATGGTTACTACATCCTGACCAAGCAGGCCTATCCTAGTGCAAGGTTTGCTTAACATTTTAAAATATGTCAATGTAATTCACCACTTAAAGAGACTAAACAAGAAAAATGATATGTTCGTCTAAATAAAATTGACAAAATCTATTGGGAAAGGCAAAGAGTTGTAGAACAGCAAAGTGGCCATGGAGAAAGTGTGCTTTTACAGAGACCTAGTAATCTTTTTGAATAGAAAAGTGAGAACCATTGACACCCCTTCTTTGTTCTCTAGGCTATAATTTTGGCATTGTATAGAGATACTGGAATCTTGATACCTCTGGAATTCTGCCAACTTAGTGAACTGAGTCTCCAAGTTAAAATCATGTAGACTTGTAGAGGAGTACAAGGTGACATCCTAATTGCCTTCGTGGAGTATCTGATACTTCAGATTCTATGCTTTTGTCTCATTAAGTCTCTGCATCCACAGGAACAAGACAAGTATTACTTTGTACATCATACATGCTCAAAAAGTGTTTGTTGAGCTAAAAATTGAGTAAAACTCCTAATATAACGCTAAATGTTTTCAGCAGCTTTGTAGCATGCTTGATTACTTTTTTATTATAGCATGCATTCACCTTTATGAATTCCCATTGCAATGTGCCCTCACCCACAATGGGAATTACTACCACTTTTAAACCCGCTGTTTTGAAAATGAAATCTTATATTTCAAAGTGGGTTCATCTTAAATTGTTATTATATTTGAACAGCTTTTCATATATTAACAATGTCACTCAGATTATAATTTTTAATTTATAGTGATTTTTATTGTGTATATACATTTTGAAAATTGCTTATTTTGTTATTTGTCCTTCAATTTTGATAGTAGGTTTATAATATTTTAAATGACATACGGTAATTGTTTAAAATATGAAGAGAGAAAATTGCAAAGAAAACATAACAATCACCTAAAATTCCATCATTGAAAGATCAGCATTGTCATAATTTCAATGAATATATCCAAAGAGCACATAATCTTTCTATTTGTGAGTGATTTCTGACGTCAAAGTATAAGGACAAACACAAGGTGTCAACTCATTCTTAAAATGGTTTAAATGAGCTTATATCAGAGGTGACACAGTTTCTACCCCATATACCCCCCTCCAAAAAGTGTCATGTATTAAGTGCATATATATATTGGTATCTGTTGCTGAATTTCTTTTGATTTCTGGTTGCATATGCTATATTGGTCTGATTTTAGTAGATTTATGATAGAGTTCATGATATGCTGGTCCATACATCAACCAGCTACACCCTATTTCCATGGTTTTCCTTTGTTTCTGAATCATCTTGTGTATTAATATTTATTGATAAATTTGAAACTTTTCCAACTACTTCCCCAAAATATTGGATTGTTCACAGAATTACATGTTTCTATGAATTTTTTAATTGCAAATTTGTGCCATAAATGTAAACAAGATTGACTTTTCCTGTGTATTGTCTTGCTAGTTTGTAGATATAAAGGAAAACTTTTGTGTTTTTTTCTTTCATATTTTCCTTTTCCTCACTGGTTAGCTCACGACAGCAGCTTAAAATTTTGTCACTGTTATGTAAGAATCTTTTTCATTTACTTTTCTTGAGAGTTTTTTGCTGAAAAAACAAAACAGAGACAACCAATAAACAAACAAAAGTGAGTTATAAAGACAGAAAAGATAAAGTTTATCTTTAACCATGCACACGTACAAACTGATCTGCTAACTATCATCTTTTTATAATCCAGTAAAATTCATGAGGGATTGACACTCGTGCTGGAAAAGGCCCTGCTGCCTGTCCAGACCCAAGAAAGCAGTTTCGAAAGTTTCTACTCTCATTGGTCTCTTTAGACCTCTGGTCAATGACACCTTTTGAAAGTCAACAGGTGGATTGAAAATCTTAAGGGGACTGCCCATTTTTTTGGGGTTGAGTTGTGTGCCCCCCAAATTCATATGTTGAAGTCTTAACTCTCAGTATCTCGGAATGTGAGATTACTATATTAGGAAATGGGCTTGTTGCAGATATAATTAGTTAAGATGAGGTCATACTGGAGTATGGGATGTCTCTAATCCAAAATGACTGCTGTCCTTATAAAAAGGGGAAATTTGGACACAGAGGCATGCAGGGAGAATGCCACGTGAAGACTGGAGTTCTGCTGCCACAAGCCAAGGAACTACCAGAAGCTAAGAGAGCGGCCTGAACAGATACTTCCCTAGAGCCTTCAGAGGGATCATGGCCCTGCCGACAACTTGAGCTCAGACTTCCAAGCTCCAGAACTATAAGAAAATAAACTTCTGCTGTTGAAGTCACTCCGTTTGTGGACCATTATTATGGAAGCCCTAGGAAACTGATATACCATTTGCCTCATTTAAAAATACCTTTTATTGGTTTCTTATTTTCTCAATCCTCAATCTTTTGTTACTTGTGGCAGCAAAATTACCCAAATCTCATAGGCACCTAAACAATTATTTCCTTTATCATCTTTTCAAAGAGAGTCTTTAACTCTGTGTGATCTTCCTAACATTATTCTTTCACTGGCTGTCTCATTTCTTTCCCCCTTGGTTCCCAGGCTCATATGGATCAGAGAATCACGAATGTCTTTCTTTCATGAGGGCCACCACAACAGAGCTAATTTTCATCTCTTCACCACTAAAACTACACAGTTCCTCACAAGAGATGGCTAGAAGTTTTACTCACCCTTTTTCCACATCCTGGATGGTGTCAGGCAGAGGCTGATTCCTGGTCTCAGGTAGAAAGAAGACAACAAGACCACCAATGATGGGAAAGACTCCATAGATGATCCAGGGCAAAGTGGGAAGATACACCGCGAGGATCATCAAGAGGGGAGCCAGTGCTGCCCCAATCCTGCCGATCACTAAACCTAATCCTGAAGCTCTTGCTCTGAGGGGTAAACAACAATGCATAATAATCTGGCAAACGTTCACATGTGTAATTTGTGATATATTATTTTGACTCGATTAGGAAAGACAATAGAGCACAACTGTTAAATACATGGGCTTTGAGACAAACACTTGTTTTTGAGATTTGCCCTATGATTTTCTAGCTGTCTTTGCGTTAAGACTCATTTTCATCATTTTAAATAGAATGTTACATATTGCACCTGCCCTGATGAGTGGTCCAAAATTGAATGAGATTACGCATTAAAGTACTGCTTAGCACAGTACATGGCACAAAAATCAGTTTTCAATAACCTTTGGCTGTAATTGTTGTTAGTATATTATTACCATTACTACTACAAACAATTGCTTTTATAATATACAAGTCTTCCTGGGCTTCTTCTCGCAATAAGTGTTGATTAGCTGGGAAAGTCCTATTTTGGCTCTGGCAGAGCATCCATAAACTCATACCTGAGGACAGTTGGGTTGAGTTCAGCCAAGTGGACAGAAGCACTGCAGGAAGAGGCAGCACAAGAGCCGATTCCCACACTTGCCAAAGCCACACGTAGGGTCTGCATTTCTGGAGACGGGAAGACCAGTGAGACTAAGAAATCTGGGCTAACGGAATCAGCATCCAACAAATGTAGTCAGAAAAAAGACCCTAGAGGTTATTTGTGTGTTTGAAATATATTGTGGAAAATTGTACAGTGGCAGAGAGCATTGAGCAGTTGATAAATTGAGAAATTTAGAATTTCAACATTGGTGGTAAAAAGCACATAAAATTACCAGATTAATTGCAGCAAATCTCTCTGCATATCTGAGATTTGCCAGAGGAAAAGAAAATGTGAGTCTGGCAGAAATTTATTTTTACTTGTTCTGTCCAGGGCTTGTTATGCGCTTAGTGTAGAAGATAGGACCATCATGTGGAGAATAGCGGAGTGTAAGACCCAGCTCTAAACTTGAGAATTTTCCAATTAAAATGCAGAATTTAAAGTGACCAGCCATCCTGGATTTCCTGGGAATTATGGAGTTTTAGCAACGTGGGATTTTCATTGATAAAACCAGGAAAATTCCAGGTAAACCTGGATGAGTCAGTCAACATAGTGTAGATACAACATTGTCATTGGGTGGGTATGGCGTGATAGAGTAAGCAAAGGACTGGACTACTTTGTTAGTGGACAGGCTGGAGAGAGGCTGGGGCTAGAAGAATGTTAGACATAAGAACCAAGAATGGAAACTTCTATTTGGAAAAAAGTGTCAGAGTTTTGGAACCACCAAAAATAAGTTTCAGATAGTTTTTTGTCAATATCAAAAGAAATATAATTATAGCTTTATAATACTGGAAAGAACTCTAGTGTAAGGGAGTAGGCCTGCATCATTAACAATATTCTGAGCAGTAGAGTCCAACTATCTGTAATGCTGCAAAGTACATTCCTGAATTGGGAGATAGGTGAAGAATAGTGCCAGTGAGTTTCTCCTAATCATTACATGTCATCATTCTATTAACTTATAAAGTAATCTAACAGGAAATGGACTAGGCTTTTAATCTGCTTAATTCCTTATTCCCACTGTCCATTCCTTTGCTACTTGAAACGGGGAATTTTTCATTTCCTGAAGGTCACGAAGACTCCCATAAGCAAAGGCTGCAGTCATGGTGACTTAACACCACACTCATGTGTGGATATATAGGGATCAGGAACCTGATTAGTCATCAAAGCTGGTAATTAAAAGCCCAGACAGAAGACATGAGTGTATTGTGTCCTCACATGGGTGATAACTGCAAGACCTAACCCCTCCATGCTTGTTATTAAAAGAATGAATCGCCAAAGGGCAAGTGACCAATTGCACTAAATGGTACCAGTTTGCACATACTTCCAGGATGTGAAGAAGACAAATATATGCCTATGCTGTCCTTTGCTGAATTTTGGCTCTTTTCCCAACAATTTATCAGCAGAATTTGTCGCAAACCTTCAGATTGGCTTTGGAGAATACTTAGCCCTTACTTGGGACCTCTCTTTGCTCCTGGCTTCAGACAAGTGTGACAGATACAATCCCTAAAAGATGAGGAAGAGACATTTCCTTTCCCCAAAGTCCAGTCTTCTCTCACCTTGGGGCACAAAGATGTTGACCAAGAGGGAAAATCCCATCAGGAACATGAAAAGCATCTGGGTTATTCGACGGCCCATATGATTCAGTGATAAAAGTGCAAGACATCGACCTGAGGCAGTGAGAACTCCAAAGACTACCTGGAACAGGAAAATATTGCTTCCAAAGTGCTGTAGGTTGATAAAGATGCCATAAAAGGGTAATGTGTTTGTAAATCTGTAGTGAACAAAAGAGGAAAGACACATGCCATATTTAGAGCCTACGTGCTGCAGCTGATGATCATATTGACCCAGGCAGCCAGTGATCAATGTACAGAGTAAAGGCCCAGTCATGTTTGCATAACACTTCTTTTTAAGATGATAATTTAAATTTACCATAAATAATTGCATGACAATATGTGAAAACGATACTCCTTCTATCGTTCTCTTGTCCGAGTCCCTAAGTGTTGGCAATGACAGGGAAATAGAATCTGACCCAATCACCGAACTGCATGGGATATAGAAGTTGGACATAGAAGAGTTAAAACTTGGAAATTAGGGAAAGTACACTTTTTCTGAGGGTTATCAGTATGCTGTGAGTCCTCCCTCTCTCCTCCCAACCCCCATACCATGAAGAAATTTCCCTTTGCTCAACTAGTAATTGAAGCTTCAAAGAGACTATGTGAATCCCCTTGATTTGGAAGCACAGTGTCCTGGGCTCTGACTGAATTCTAGGGAACTTAAGGTTCATATCTGACATCCTAAGGCTAAGAGAATACAGGCAGACAAACATGCACCAACTATATGATAGGAAATGAAATCAAAGGTTCCCCCTGGAGATTTACGCTTTACCCAGAAAGCATCTAAAGGAAAGGAGTCCACTTCAATAATATACATCGCACAGAGAGAGCTAGAATTCAACATTACAGCAGAAGAAACCACCACAGACCACAGCAATCCCAAGCTAGTAAGTCCTTTCCTGATCATAATCTCTACTTTTTCTTTCCATTCTGATTGTTTAGGATTCAGATATGTGAGTCTGTGACCTAGTAAATAGCGGAAATGTGAAAAAGCACAATGCAGTGAAATGAGGAACAGTATCCTAGGATATGCCTAGGAAGAGGAAAACTGTACACTTCAATAGTTACATTCTTAAGCTTGGCAGGGGTAGGGGGATGTATATATTGTCTTCAAAGTCTTCAAAATTGCCCTTCCTGACTCTACCAAAGTAAGTACTTATATCCCCCAAGATATAATGGACAAGATTTTCTATAGAAGCCCTAGTGTTAACACCCCAAATTGGAAACAAATACACATCCACCAACATTCAAGTACATGAAGAAATTGTAGTGTATTCATCTAATGGAGTACTGAAACAGTGGGAGAAAACAACCTACTGCTACATGCAACAAAATTGATGAATCTTGCATGGCTAAGCTTGAGGAAGAAGTGTGTGTCACAGAACCATTTTGTCATTTATGTTATGTGAAGGTCAAGATCAGGCAACAGTCCTCTGTGGTGTTGGAGATCAGAACAGTTGTTAAGTTTTATTTGTCTTGGGAGAGGGCAGTGAGGAGGGAATAAGAGTGGGTCAGTGGTAGTGGTGCTGGCTATTGTTATAGGGGATACATGAAGGGACCTTCTGGAGAATTAGGATTTTTCTATCTTGGTCCGGAAATTGGTTACATTTTTACATATTGCAATATTCACTGAACTGTATATATTCATCATCTCTTCATCTTACTGTTTGCAAGATTTCTTTCAATTAAAATTGAAAACAAAAATGAAAAAATTAAACGCCAAAATGTGTACTGTGATGGAAGTTCTCAACATCAATCTCCAGTGAAGAGACTGATAAAGTGATATGACATAATTAACTCCTCAGTGTATAATCAGTTCCATGTGAGTCTTTTTATAACCCTTTGATGATCTCCAAATATAGCAATCATTTGGTGTATTTTCCTCATCTCTTATTTCCAAATCATCATCTCCCCCTCACAACACTGTTATAACCCTTGAAATAAATAGGTTCATATCCCCACTCCTTTAATGTTGTGATGCACTGTGTAAAGCCCACCTCAAAAAGGACCCGAGACATATCCTTTTACGCATTTTGGGTGTGCGGAACAAGTCACACATAGTAGTTTTGTTCTGTGCTGCCTCCAGCTCCTCCTGCATGGTGGATCTCAAAACCTTCAAAACAACAAACACGTATCATTTGCCAGCATAGTGCCAGGCCTTGTGGTGAGCACTGGCACTCAATAGGACGAGAGAGATATGTTCTCTTTTCTTCTAGTGTAACATATTATACATGCAATCACAGGTGTGAAGTGATATGAAGGAAGATGTAGGCAGTTAAAGGAGAGTCCAGGAAATTATTCAGCCGCAATGGTATTTTGAAAATGAGGGGTGCAGGGCATCCATGAGACTGCATAGGTTATAGATGCAGATCAGGAAGTGAACTAAAGGAAGAGGTAGTTGCTTAGTGCTCAGAGCTTCTTTTACATGAGATGGCCGTGAAAGACTAGGGAACTGGGCTCGCATTCTCATTAGCTGCCCTTGTTAGAGAGCTGGTTTGTCTATCTCAATAAGAAGGCAGATGTCAGTTTTCCCTCCAACCCAGTAAGTGCCTTCCCTTTCTGGCTCACCTCCATGTTCAGAGTTTCTTCAGCATTCTTCCTTCCATTTGTGTGTGCAGCTTTTCTAAGTTCCTTTAAGCCTTCATCTGGTTTATTGGTGACAATCAGCCAGCGAGCAGACTCCCTCAGCCACCTGATGAAAGAAGAGCTTACAAGTGCATTCAACTCTCTCTTACTTATTTGTCTTATGGTTATTGACTACAGATGCTTTTTCCCTTCCATCTAATATCCACCATTTGTAGGGTTTGGGATAGAAACTCATGTTCTATTATACAAATGCTAGGAAAGTATGAGAATGACCACTCCACGTAGTACACCTTCATGGTTAGGAACACAGACTTTGGAGTCAAATTTCCTCTCTGCTTACTTAGCAAAAAATTTGCCGAGAAGCTTATGAACCCTAAGCTTCAGAATTCCTCACATACGTAATTACCTTCCAAAGCTTGACATGAGTTCTAGCAAATTTATGCTCATAATATATATTCTTTTTTTAAAAAAGGAGGTCTCACATTATGAAAGCTTAAAGCCCAACAAAGATTGGGAGTACTCTTGCCACGACCAGCTATGTTGGTACCTTACTACACAAGTGAGTCACTTATTAACATCTGCCTCAGTTTTCTCATCAATAAAATGAAGACAGTAGTGCCATCTTCCTTGTAGGGTTGTGGAGTATAGAATGACACAACGGATGAGTCTGACATGGATTACACTCTCCTCTCTCTCTGAACTCACCTTGCTGTTTAAATCTATATCATCTCTCCATGATCGATAAATCTGACTCTCCCCTAGACTTGTTTTAAGTGTAGGGATGAAGTTGTCAAAAAATAAATGTTTGTTACAATTATTTAAGTGAGGAGGCAGTGGTGAACACATGATGTAAATCACCCAATCTGCATGACCGTTTTCAGTACTAGAGAAACGTGGCTGCTATTCTGTCAAATAGCTATGTGAATATATTTGCTGCCTCTTCCTTTTATCCAATTTTATCTACAAAAGTGAAAATTACTGAAAACTTCACCATAACCTGACTCCTTCCAAAGCCAAAAAAGAATTGAAGATATTTCTTTTTAAATATTTGAGTCTGTATTCTATGTTAAGGAATATAATGTTGGTATAACTCTATGACCATTCTACAGGGTAAGACTTAAGAATAAAGATGGCAGAAAATGCCCAGAACTCCCAGGTGCAAAGTTCGTTGCTACTCCCTATTCTGCTTCTCAAATTGCACTGAGTGAACAGATAAGACGCATGGGGTTTAGGTCTAGATGGTAAGGAAGGGTCCAGGGAATAAGAAAATCAATTATGTCTCAATTCAATATTCATTTTCATACCATGCTCCCATAAGACACAGTGAGAGAGAAGGCTCATACCTTGAGGAGAGAAACAAGACAAAGAAAGGTGCAGGCACCACCAGCTGCAGGGTGCGCCACTCTCGAAAGACAAAAGCCAGGCCTCCCAGGATTATCTGTCCCATACTAAGGGCACAAGATACCAGTGTTATTACCATGGCTTTAGACTGAGACCTTGTCCACTCTACAACTGAAAGAAAACCCAGTTAGGATATTAGTGTCAGATAAAGGTGGAATTTCCAGGTCAAATTCAAGGCTTGGAAAATGGAGATCAAAATTAATGACTTACTAAGCATACTGCTATTCATCATGATGGCCATGGAAGAACAACCTGACAAGAAGCGTAGTAAGCAGTAAACGAGGAAGGTGGGAGCAAAGGCTGTGCAGGTCCCAGAGATGGCCAGCAGGAGCAAACAACATCTGAGAACCACCTTTCGGCCAAACCTAAGAAAAAAAGTGTTAGGTTAGATTATGGGAATAATAATAATTTGTGGTAAAAACTTCAGAAAATGAAAGCATACTCTGAAATTTAGAAAATTTTAACAAGTGAGTCTTTGTACTTGAAAGCTTGACAAATCAAGAGCTAAATCAATAACAGATATTTCCTCAAATGTAATGCTCCCAGTTTATAATATAGACTGAGAATATCATATGGTATTTCCATTTTTAGTCTTTTGAGAAATCTCCATACTGTCTTCCATAGTGGCTGCACTAGTTTGCATTCCCATCAGCAGTGTATGAAGTTTCCTTTTCTCCACACCTTCTCCAATGTTTGTTATTTTTAGTCTTAGTGATTATAGCCATTTTAACAGGTGTAAGGTGGTATCTTAGTGTAGTTTTGATTTACATTTCCCTGATGATTAGTGATGTTGAACATCTTTTCGTGTGTTTATTGGCCATCTGTATATCTTCTTTGGAAAAATGTCTGTTGATATCCTCTGCCAATTTTTTGATCGGGCTGTTTGTTTTCTTGTTGTTCAGTTGTATGAGTTCCTTATATATTATGGAGATTAAACCCTTGTTGGTACATGCTTTGCAAATATTTTCTCCCAATTGGTGGGCTGTCTTTTTGTTTTGATCCTAGTTTCTTCTGCCTTGCAGAAGCTTTTTAGTCTGATGAAGTCCCAGTTGTTTATTTTTTCTTTTGTTTCCCTTGTCTGAGAAGACATTGGATTGGAAAAGATCCTTTTAAGTTCAGTGTCAAAGAGTGTACTACCTATATTGTCTTCCAGGAGTTTTATGGTTTCAGGACTTATCTTCAAGTCTTTGATGCATTTTGAGTTTATTTTTGTGTATGGCATGAGATAATGGTCTACTTTCAATCTTTTTGCATGTGGCCGTCCAGTTTTCCCAACACCATTTGTTGTAGAGACTATCTTTCCTCCACTGTATGTTCTTGGCACCTTTGTCAAAGATTAGCTATCCTTAGATGTGGGGTTTTATTTCTGGGCTTTCAGTTCTGTTCCATTGATCTGTGTACCTGTTTTTGTACCATTACCATGCTGTGTTGATAACTATGGCTTTGTACTACATTTTGAAGTCAGAGATTGTGATGCCTCCAGCTTTGTTCTTTTCCTCAGGATTGCTTTAGCAATTTGGGGGTCTTTGGTTGCCACATATGAATTGTAGGATTGTTTGTTCTATTTCCATGAAGAATGTCATTGGGATTCTGATTGGGATCGCATTGAATCTGTAGATTGCTTTGGGTAGTATGGGCATTTTAACTATATTTATTCTTCCAATCCATGTGCATGGAATCTTTTTCCATCTCTTTTTGTCATCATCTATTTCCTTCAATAATGTCTTATAGTTTTCATAGTATAAGTCCTTCACCTCCTTGGTTAAATTTATTCCTAGATACTTTTTCTTTTTGCTGTAATTGTAAATGGAATTGAATTCTTGTGTTCTCTTTCTGTAAATTCGTTCTTAGAGCACAGAAATGCAACTGAGTTTTGTAAGTTGATTTTGTACCTGGCAGCTTTACTGTAGTTGTTTATTATTTCTGATAGCTTTCTGATGGATTCTTTAGGGTTTTCTATATATAAGATCATGTCATCTGCACACAACCAGAGTTTCACTTCTTCGCTCCCTATTTGGATTCCTTTTATTCCTTTCTCTTGCCTAATTGCTCTGCCCAACACCTCCAGTACTATATTGAATAAGAGTGGTGAAAGTGGGTAACCTTGTCTTGCTCCTGTTCTCAGAGGAATGGCGTTCAGTTTTTTCCCATTGAGTATGATGTTGGCTGTGGGTTTGTCATATATGGCCTTTATTATGTTGAGGTAATTTCCTTCTATCCTCATTTTTTAGGAGTTTTTATCATAAGTTGATGTTGGATCTTGTCAAATGCTTTCTCTGTGTCTATTGAGATGATCATGTGGTTTTTATTCCTCATTTTGTTAATGCGGTGTACCATATTGATTGATTTGCGGATGTTGAACCATCCCTATGTCCCTGATGTAAATCCCACTTGATCATGATCTATGAACTGTTTGATGTATTGCTGTATTTGGGTTTCGAATATTTTGTTGAGGATTTTTTCATCTATGTTCCTCAGCGATATTGGCCCATAGTTTTCCTTTTTTTGTGTTGTCCTTGTCAGGCTTTGATATCAGAGTGATGTCGGCTTCACAGAATGTCTTAGGAGGCATTCCATCTTCCCTAGTGTTTTTGAATAACTTGAGAAAGATAGATATTAAATCCTGTCTGAAAGTTTTCTCTTTGTTTTTTTTTTCTTCTCCCCAAAGCCCCCAATATTCTAGTTGTGAGTGGTTCTGGTTGTGGTATGCGGGAAGCCCCCTCAGTACGGCCTGATGAGTGGTGCCATGTCCACATCCAGGATCTGAACTGGTGAAACCCTGGCCCACTGAAGTGGAGTGTGCGAACTTAACCACTTGGCCATGGGGCTGGCCCCCCTCTATGAAAGTTTTTATAATTTTCTGGGAAGCTCTCTGTTCCTGGGTTTTTATTTTGCCTTTGTATTTTTGAGGAAGATTAGCCCTGAGTTAACATCTGCTGCCAATCCTCCTCTTTTCGCTGAGGAAGACTGGCCCTGAGCTAACATCCGTGCCCATCTTCCTCTACTTTTGTGGGACGCCCACCACTTGCCAAGCAGTGCCATGTACACACCTGGGATATGAATCGGCGAACCCTGGGCCACCGAAGTGGAACATACACACTTAACAGCTGTGCCACTGGGCCGGCCCCATGGGCTTTTATTTTTTGGGCTGCTTTTGATTACTGTTTCAATCTCTGTACTTGTGATTAGTTTATTCAGATTATCTTTTTCTTCTTGATTCAGCTTTGGGGGGCTGTAAGAGTCCAAAAATTTATCCATTTCTTCTAGATTGTCGATTTTGTTGGCATATAGCTTTTCGTAGTATTCTCTTATAATCCTTTGTAGTTCTGTGGTATCTGTTGTTATTTCTTCTCATTCATTCCTAATTTTATTTATCCAATCTTTCTCTCTTCTTTTCTTTGTAAGCCTGGCTAGGGGTTTGTCAATTTTGTTTATCTTCTCAATGAACCAGCTCTTTGTTTCATTGATCCCTTCTACTGCCTGTTTTGTTTCAATAGCATTTATTTCTGCTCTGACATTTATTATTTCTCTCCTTCTGCTGACCTTGGGCTTTGTTTCTTCGTTTTCTAATTTGGTGGTTAGCTGCCGTTTGAGATTGCTTATTTGGGATGTTTCTTCTTTGCTAAAGTGAGCCTGTATTGTGATGAATTTCCCTCTTAATACTGCTTTTGCTGCATCCCATACGAGTTGGTATGGTGTGAATTCATTTTCATTTGTCTCCAGATATGTCTTGATTTCTCCTTTAATTTCTTCAATGATCCATTCGTTGTTCAATAGCCTGTTGTTTAGTCTCCAAATCTTTGTCCCTTTCTCAGATTTTTTCTTGTAATTAATTTCTAGATTCATAGGATTGTGATCAGAAAAGATGCTTGTTATTATTTCAGTCTTCTTAAACTTATTGAGGCTTGCCTGTTTTCCCAACATACGGTCTATCATTGAAAATGTTCTGTGTGCACTTGAGAAGAATGAGTCTTCTGCTGTTTTTGGATGGAGTGTTCTATATATGTCTATTAGTCCAACTGGTCTAGCTTTTCATTGAATTCTACTGTTTCCTTGTTGATTTTCTGTTTGGGTGATCTATCCATTGATGTGAGTGGAGTGTTGAGGCCCCCTACTATTAGTGTGCTATTGTTAATATCTCCTTTTAGGTTTGTTAATAGTTGCTTTATGTACTTTGGTGCTCTTGTGTTGGGTGCACAGATATTTATGTATTATGTTTTCTTGGTGGAGTGTCCCTTCAATCATTATATACTGCCTCTCTTTGTCTCTGTTTAGCAGTCTTATATTGAAGTTTACTTTGTATTATATAAGTATTGCAACACCTGCTTTCTTTTGTTTGCCATTAGCTTGGAGTATCATCTTCCATCCCTTCACTCTGAGCCTGTGTTTGTTGTTGAAGCTGAGATGTTTCCTGGTGGCAGCATATTTTGGGTTCTTGTTCTGTAATCCATCTTGCCACTCTGTCTTTTTATTGGAGAATTCAATCTATTTATGATTAGGATGATTATCAATATATGAGGGCTTAGTGCTGCCCTTTTATTACTTGTTTTCTGGTTCCCCTGCATTTCCTTTGTTTCTCGTCCTGTATATTTTGGTCTATCAATTGAGTTATGTAGCTTTTTTATGTTCTGTTTCTTTGTTTTCTCCTTATTTGTTATTTGTGTCTCTGTTCTGCTTTTTTGTTTAGTGGTTACCATGAAGTTTGTATTCAAAATCTCATAGATAAGATAGTCCATTTTCTGATTGCTTCTTATTTCCTTAGACTAAACCAATTCAGTGCCTTTCCTCTTCCCCTCCGAAGTTGTTTTTCTCACATCTTATTCCATCTTGTGTTGTGAGTTTGTGATTAAAATGACAAGATTATCTTTGTTTTTGGTGTTTTCCTTCCCTTTATCTTTAATGCTATTCTTGAGTATTTCCTAACCTGTTCTGACACATAGGTAAAATTTTCTGAGTTTTTCTACCTATTTATCTCCTTACCCCATGATTTGTAACTCCTTTCTCCTTTTTTTTCCAGGTATGAGGTCCTTCTTGTGGATTTCTTGTAGAGAGGGTCTTGTGGCTACGAACTCCCTTAGATTTTATCTGGGAAAGTTTTTATCTCTGCATCATATCTGAAGGACATTTTCGCTGCATGGAGTATTCTTGGCTGAAAGTTTTTGTCCTTCAAAGATTTGAATATGTCATTTGAGTCTCTCCTAGCCTGTAAGGTTTCTGCAGAGAAATCTGCCGAAAGCCTGATAGGAGTTCCTTTGTAGGTTATTTTCTTCTCCCTTGCTGCCCTTAGTATTTTGTCTTTGTCATTCACTTTTGCCAGTTTCACTAGTATATGCTTTGAAGTAGGTCTTTTTACATTTACATATTC